AAAGGTTATAAAAATGCAGTGTGCGGGGCCGGAGAGATGATGTAGCAGCTAAGAGCATATACTATTCCAGAGGACCGCAGTCTGTCTCCCGTACAGACGTCTGTCTGGTGGTCAAGACCTCCAGGAGCTCCAGCTCTGGGGGATCCAGCCTCCTCTTCTGGACTCCATAGGCACCTGTGTACACGCGGACACATTCACGCAAACACACATGATTAAAAGTGAAAAAAAAAATAAGCAGAGCGTAGGGTATAGCTTAATGGTTGGGTACGTTCCTTGCTTGTAAAATGGCTGTGGGTGTGATCCCCAGCACAAAACACAAAAAGCGGTGGAATATTCTTCGAACATTTAACAAAGTAACACATAATTCCCCACACACGATGCAGTTAGTGGTTTGGTAATCACAGGACTGTGCACAAATAAGATCCACAGTGCCCTCTAGGTCATATGACCCTGACATGGGACAGCTTTTGCTCGGACAATGTAGCTTCTTTCTGTCATTCCTGTCACGTCGTCTCATGGCTGTATGCCCAGTTTTACATGTAGAAAGTGCTGGCAGTCTAGATCTGGTGTCCTTCCTGAAAGTGGCCTGCTGGGGGGATGCCTACTCCGTCCATTCTCAAGGCATGCTCTGAGAAACGCCGGCCCGGGGTCAGGCCTACAGCCTGTGAAGGACGGCCGTTGGATGCCTCGCCTATCGCAGCGCCCATGTGCCCTACAGCTGGACCAGGAATGTTCTCCAGAGCCACATGTGTGGAAGTGGTGAGCGAATTCAGTCCACACCTGCTGTTCTGCAATGTGCTTGTTCAATCGCGTACACGTTCCTCAGTATGTTTTCCTTTTTCTTTGAACTCTTTGCGTTAATGGAGCCATTTTTTTTCCTGCCCCAAATCCCCTGCACCCTTTTCATGCCTGGCAAAACTTTTTAGTATTTATCTAAGGTTTGTGTCTTCCTGAGGATGTCTTCATGTCCTTTGCTTTTCTGTTAGGCCCCTGTATGTGTGAAATGTCTGAGTCATATGTCTTCTAAGCGTGTGTGATGTTCCTGCAGCAGGTTGTGAGTGTTCAGGGTGGACCGGTCACCTGGACCCCTCTTAGAGAGCTGTCTCTCCTGTCCAGGCAGCCCCTCTGCGATGAGGCCAGTGCTGCAGAAAGTGCCCAGAGAAGAACCATAGTTGTTACCCATCCACACCATTTCCACCCTGTATCCTCCAGGGCTGGGTCTGCCTTGCCAGGCTCTGGTCCCCTTTCCTCTGGCTCTTGAGAAAGGTGCTCTTCCTTCTGAGTCTCGGAAGCAGGTTGTAGAAGGGAACTTCTGATCTTCTAGGGGGTCTTCTGTGCCCTTGTCTTTCAGGGACTGTAACTGGACTTATGTCCCCCATACTCCAGGATCAACTCTGGGCTTATTCCTTATGACACTGTAAATTCCCTAGGGATAGGGCCTGTTGTCTCCTGCTCAGGACCCTCCTTGAGTTGAGGGAGTATGGATCAAGTGACAACAGTATGACGAAGGCCTTAGCCTGGCTGACAGTCTGACTGTGAACTCGGCAAGCTGCTTTCTTTCCTTTTTTTTTTTTTTTTTTTTTTGCTAAACAGGTTCTCTTTGTGTGTGTGTGTGTGTGTGTGTGTGTGTGTGTGTGTGTAGCCTTGGCTGTTCTGGAACTCACTATGTAGACTAGGCTGGCCTCAAATTCCTTTATAAAGCTCCGAGGGCTGGAATTAAAGGTGGTCTCAGTTTTGCTGTCTATCAAATGGGGCACACAGTAGGTTGCGCCTAGTAAGAGTGGGTGGGCCTTGCAGATATAAGCAGGTAAAGGCCAGCGCACCTGGCTGTGACTATTATTAATGTCTCGGGATCTCTTCCGAAGGACTGGGGAAGGGGGGCGTCTTGTATGTGACTTCAGTCTAGCCCTTGGGTTCTTCAGAACCTTTTCAGCATCCTTTAGATAAGTAAGTGTGTGCCAGTCAGCACGCTAGACGTGGGGGATGACATCCCATGTGGTGACTGTTTCCCCTCAGAACACTGCAGCCCTGGGGAGTGGCTGGTCAGGGAAGGAGGAGTCTTACGGGTTCTCACTAGGGCATCAGAGGGGCTAGGGTCTCACTGGCTGTGTTTAGGGCATTTCCACTAAATACAGTATTTTCTCTGCCCTCTCCCAGTGTAGTCCTGTTTTCCTGCCTGGAAGCTGCCCTCTGTACTTAAAGTTGGTGTGTGGCCTGGCGAGTGAAGTGTCAGTGGCCAGACTTCCTGAGGGACAACTTAGAGGATCTCTGTTAGTGGGCACAAACCTTTTTGGCTGACTGTTCAGTTTCTTTTCAGTAGGCACCAAGAGCTAAAGACAGGGAAAACATTGAAGTTGAGTGATCGCCAAGGAGTTGTTCTCAGTCAGGGGGTTGCACTGCCGGGAAGAGCAGTCTAGACATTGAGACAAAAGAAGCCTGCAGATCTCCCAGTTGTATCTGTAGGGAGCAAAATGCTGCCCGTTTGATAGTGTCCTGTGCCTGCGTAGAGCAAGGCCCTCTAACAGACTCCTTTGCGGTACTGTCCAGGGCCCGACAACACCTGTTGTCACCATCCCATCTAGTCCAGAGCAAGTGTAGTGTGGCCAGCGGCTGGTGAGAGATAGGCAGGCGCTTTCGGGTCAGCCCAAAGGAGTAGAGTAACCGGTGTCCTTGGGCCGTGAGGAAAGTTCTGTTCAGCTGACCAGCGGATTTAACACGTGCTCCAACAGACTCTCCTTGGCCCTCACGTTAGTTTTAGAACCCCGTATCTGCCAGTGCTCAGTCATGGTGAGGTAGAACACATCTAACTTAATACTACATTTCAGGATGAGTGTTCAGCCTACAGTGATGTTCTAGATGTTAGCCAGTGATCAAAGATGTGTGAGACACGAAATAGAGCCGACTTTGGGGGTCGTGGTTGGTGGTGGTAATGTTATGCTCCTGGACGTGGTCAAGGGGTTAGCTACAGTAGCTCAACCCAGGTCCACTTCCAGTTCAAATGCCCACAGAGTGTAGCTGCTGGCGCATACATGTTCTGAGGTGTGCACGGCCTGCTGTCTGGCTATGCCTCACATGCAGTTGGACTGGGACCCCCCCACACACACACTTTTGCTGCAGAGGAATGTTGGCCTGGTGCCAAAGCTGACTTTTCAAAGGGAAACTGGAAATTTATATTTTCAATGGAAGTATGATTTTTAAAATTTTGAATAAAATCTCATTTTTTTATTTTTAAGTCCCAGAAATGTATCTAGATCAGATTTAGTTAATTAACCACTTGGAATTATGAGTTTCTATTACAGTTTATGTTGTGAGTTCACTCTGAAGTGTGCTACAGTGTTCTAAGACTTAAGAACTTTGACAAAGCGGATTAACACTGGAGATGGTAAGCAGGACCTCTGGTGACTCGGTGGTGATATTGGGGAATGGCCCTCATAGTTCACTGTTTACTGATTTCAACCCTGAGTTGACCCCAGAAAGTGTCCAGTTAAATTATATTTGCCTGAAACGGTCACATCTTAGATTCTATCTTGAAAGTTAATGTCTTACTAAAAATGGAGGACTGAAATTTTATGCTGTTATTTTTATTCATTTTGCAGATCTGTATTATTAATTATTGTCAAGATTATTTTTTTCAAAAAAAATTCTTTCAAGCTAGAGCTTTTCTTTGCAACAGCCCTAGCTGTCCTAGAACTTGCTTTGTAGACCAGGCTGGCCTCAAACTCACAGAGATCCACCTGCCTCTGCCTCCCAAGTGCAAGGATTAAAGGTGTGTGCCACCACTGTGCCCGGCAATGTCAAGACTATCTTATGGGCTAAGGTATTTTTAAAAATCTAGCTGGCGAGAAATCAAGTAATGTTTGGAAAGGCCTTGACTATCGATGTTGGTATTTCCAGTTCTTCCTGAGTGAATGTTGATTTGGGGCCAGAGTGTGTGTATCATGTGGTAACTATACAGGCTTTGGAGCTTAAGTTTAAGCCACGGACTGCCTCGCTGTTGAGTACTGGCTTGCCTTTTTAAATACTCAGTCTGACACAGCTGTTTCTATTAGCTGCATCCCCAGAATAGAAGTGACAGAGATTTTTGCTGTATGACTGGAGGACAGGGTCGGGAGGGACCCTAAGCTGGCACATGGCATCTCTGGAGATAATCGAGGGCTGCTTAGTAGACAAGGACAGTCCTGGGGGCTGGAATAGTCATCCCTGTCCTTTCTGTAGTGCCAGCTAGTTATGGCTTCTCCTTTCGTTCTTGGAAAAGACTCATGAGCTGCGTAATAATTTGGCACTTGGGCTTCAGTGAGTGGAGATGGTGATAGATTTATCAAAATTCAAGAGTAGGGCATTGAGTATTGTTGAGCTGTGTGTCTGCTAAGAATTTTTATATGGATCATGGGGGAAATTCTTTTCTCAAGACTGTTTCTTTCTAAGATACTCGGAATATGAAATACGGGAGAAATAGGAAGTTCCACAGAGGTGCTTGACATAGATTCTGAGTTTTACCATGTAGAACTGTAAAGTGGTGTGTAATTTTTATTGCTATTATTTATTTATTTTTAAGAGTATTACATTGGGTAGGAGATATTTGAGTCCATTTTTGAAAATTCCTACTTGGAATATCAGAGCTAAAAGATGTTACAGGCTGTTTCAACACCAACAACAAAAATAGCCTGAGGTAGTGCCGGAAGGCTGGCCTTGGGTTCTTTCCTCCTTTTTGTATTTTGTGGAAAGCATGAACTACTAGAAGGTGATGAACTTCAGAGGACTACTGTTCCTTGTTTCATTCCTAACTCCAGACTTGGGAAGTGTATGGCAGGGGAGCGTTAGCCTGTTCAATGAAGGAGAAAGGCAGTGCCAGGTCAGTGTGCCCTGGCTAGACAGGTAGTACAGGCTAGCAAGCAAACAAACACCAAGTTTCATGGTGTAAGCAGAGTGTGACAGGGCCAAGCAGGACAACGAAAGAGGAATGTTTTGTGTCTTGCTCTTAGGATCAGGAAAGAGAGACTATGGTGGAGCTTGAGCTCAAGGAAGCTGCCTCGGACCGAGGGCAGACCTCTGATCAGAGCCGCTGTCCTGGACCATATAAGTTTGGCAAGTACTGTCTATGTGAATGTTGGCGATTGTAGCCCGAAGGGTCAAGATGGCAAGAATGATTGTTGGTTAGTAAAGAAGTGGTTAGTCTTGTTTATTAAGTACTGTAGGTCAGTGCTAGCATTTGGAGATGTGGTTAAGTCCTGTGGAGATACAGAGAGCAGGAGCGTGCTTAGTGGGTGAGAAAGACTGACAGATATTTCCAGCATGTGAATCAGAGTCAGAAGACAGCTGTGTTGGAGTTTGGACAAGGCTGCTGCATCAGTGACCCCGAGGATGGGTGTGTGTGTGTGTGTTCCTCACAGAACAGTTGCGGCGTAAACACATTAATGTTATTTCTGCTCCACCTGCTTATATAAAGACCCCTGTTTCATCTGACAGGTGTTACCACCCAGGTTGGGGCTGGCTCACACGTAAGGCAACTAGCTTTATATGAGAGTTCCCTGCAGCCCGTGTTAAAACAGTGGTTTTCCATAATGGTGGTGCTAATTTACATTTCCGCCCACGGTGTGCTAAGATTCCCTTCCCCCACTTGGATCTCTTGTCTTTTTGATGATAGCTCTTTTTGCCAGAGTGAGGTGGTTTTGATTTACATTTCCCTGATGAGTGATGTTGAACATAAAAAATTTTTAAATGGAATAACAGTATTATGCAGCAGTTGTACAACTATATATGAATCCAGAGGAAATGAAATCTGTATGTTGAAGAAACATCTACATTCCCATGATTATTGCAGCATTAGTCACAGTAGTCAAGAAATGGACATTCCCCAGGTATAACTGATAAATGTAGGTGGAAAATGTGCTACATATACACATGGGAATACTGTTTACATATACACATGGGAACACTGTCTACATAAACACTTGGGAATACTGTCTACATATATACTTGGGAATACTGTCTACGTGTACACACGGAATACTGTCTACATATACACTTGGAAATACTGTCTACGTATACACACGGAAATACTGTCTATATATACACACGGAATACTGTCTACATAGAAACTCGGGAATACTGTCTACATATACACACAGGGATACTATTTAGCCATACAAAGAGGGAAGCCATGTGATGTGTAACAATGTGGATGGAACTAGAGGATGTTACTTTCGGTGAAATACGCTGAGAATAGAAAGAAGAGGAGTGCTGTGTAAAGTCACTCGGATGTGGAATATGAAAAACTCCACCCCGTAGAAGTGGGGAGTGGATAATACTCCCACAGGCTGGGGTGGGTGTGGTGCTGAACTATGACATATACATATATATGACATATACATATACATAGTATGACATATACCATGGTCATAGTGAGCCTGGAGTATGCTGTTGCACAGACGGTAATCATGGGTAAGGGACTGTGTATGGTAATCATAGGTAACGGTAAGGGACTGTGTACCGAAGCCATAGGTAATGGTAAGAGACTGTGTATGGTAACCATAGGTCATGGTAAGGAACTGAATACAATAACCATAGGTCATGGTAAGGGACTGCATATAATAACCATAGGTCAT